GTAGCTGGGATTACAGGCATGCACCACCATGCCCAGCTCATTTTTTGTATTTTTAGTAGAGACAGGGTTTCACCATGTTGACCAGGATGGTCTTGATATCTTGACCTCGTGATCCACCCACCTCGGCCTCCCAAAGTGCTGGGATTACAGGCGTGAGCCACCGCGCCCGGCCCTACGTGTTCTTAAACACTTAGCTCAGGTGATCCTTTCGGGTTGGGTTAAGCATTCCGTATTTCTCTGTGTTCTAAGAGACTCTGCTGTAGCACATATCTCAGTTTGGTGTTAGCACCCATATGCTTTTGTTTCCCCTGCTAGTCTCTAAGCTCCATGAGGGCAAAGATCTAATGTTTCCTATTCACCTGGTACAAAGCCTGGCAAACAGTGGATATAAATAACTGTTACATGTATGTATAAATGTGTTGTTTCAAAATTTGAAAAAGGAAACATACTAAGGTGCCTTGAAGGAAAAGTGACTGACAGAAGACATGATAAAGTGCCATCTATATCGGTAAATTCGTAACATTCATAACGGTTTTTGCTTTAGCTGTATAGACCTGGAGGCTTAATTTTGTCTGTAAACTGAGAGGTCAACCTCTTGGGGATGATTTCACCCTAATCATGCTTATGTAGACTAGAATGTCAATATATTCATATATAATGAGAAATGTAATAGCCAGCCATTCTGGAACAAATGACATCAGAGGTAAAATTATATATGAAACTGTTACCCAAATTACATGAAGTCGATTTGGGAAAGGATTATTAATTTACAGAATGCTTTAATTAAGAAGGCTTTGATGGACTATCAAACACTACCCAGTTTAAGGAAAGCTAGTAAGCCTTTTAAGGGAACTGTTATGCATATGTTCTTTGGGTAAGGCTATGATTTTGGCAAAGAACAGAATACCTGTGAATTCCCTTTTTCAGTTTTTCATGTTTACCAGCACTCCTTAAACACATTTATTTATATTTTCTTCTAAAAAGAGAATGTGTGTGTATGTATACACTGATAAATTTGCAGTCAAGTCGTGGAGGGCAGGCATTTAGCTACATCTGGAAGAATTAATAAAATGAATCTAACAACATCTGAAGAATTAAAATGTCTGGTACCTACCTACTTTGTGAAACAACTAGATATTCCAGGCGCATCTTGTACTTTGTCTGACCAGCCATTATTTCCAAGGATCCCTGGTTCCTTTTAATGGGGAATGGTTTATAGAAATGGAAAATCTAGGTTCTACCACTGGAGTGGTATTGCTTCTAGGCCTTTTTGGCAAACAAGGTAAGAAATATATGTATATGTCTGTCTGTAAAAATCATATGTACGTGTGTGTCTACAAAAATCATGAGTTCATCAAAGGAGGGCCTTAAGAAAAACAAAACACACACACACACACATACATACACACACATATACAGGCAAAATAATGAGTTCATGCTGATGACTTTAGTTCCAATGCAACACTAAGGATAGAGTTCTAAGGTGGCAGGTAGCTTTCAACACTTAGACTATATCACACCCAATGGCCTCTAACTTCTGTCTTTGCTATTGAGAATTCAGCTTTTTAAAATGTTGCTCCTCTGAAGGTAATCTGTTTTTTTTTTTACAATTTTTATTTTGTAGTTTCTAGGTGTGGATTTTCCTTTTTAATCTGTGCAGTTTGTTATGCTTCTTAAGTCTATGAATTGACCTTATCAGTTGTGAAAAATTTCAACTTTGTTGGGGCTTCCCCCTGACCAATCATAGGTTTAGCATTAAAATACGTAACAACAGCCATTATTTCTTCACATACTGCCTCTGCCTCATTCTTTTTCTCTGTTATCTTTTTTTTTCTGGAAATGCAATCAAATGTATTTTTGGACTTCTCATGCTAGCTTTCATATATCTTAACCACTTATCTTGGCATCTTTCCCACCGTGGCTGCATTCTGGATAGTTTCTTCTGACTGATGGTCTTTTATTTGAAAATACTTAGCATATTATGTCTTATAATTCTAATATCTCAACTCTTTGCAGGTCATTTTCTGCTTTCTCTTGCTTTTGTTGGTTCTTGTTCATGATTCCTTGTTTCTCTGTGCTGTTGACCGTAAGTGTTTATTGGGGATTGTTCTTGAGAAATCGCACTTCAGATTTCTTAAGGCCTGGGTTGAAGTGTTTTTCCCCAAAGGAATTTTGCTTCTGCCAGGAGATTAGAGCATTGTCAGACCAGAACTGTTTTAAACTAAATTAGGACTTGAGGTGTATGGGACCACCCATAACATGTTAAATTAGGTTGTAAATCTACCCTAGGATTAAACGATGATATACAACTACCCTTGTCCCTTTAGTAAGCACTAGATCAACTTCTCATGCAGTCTCATGAGGTTAAAGGATAGAAGTAAGTTTATTATTTCCTACTCTCACCTTAAAGGTAGCCTAATAGAAAAATAAAAAATAAAAGGAAGAAATCAAAGGAGGGCTCAAGAATAGGGGGGAAAAAAAGA